TCACCACAAAAACCAAGGTATGAATTAACCCCAAAAGGTTATTTAAAAGGTTCTCAGAGGATCCATTAACAGGGGATCTTTGAAGAATATTTAGAGAAAATTGTGACGTTCCTAGATCCTTGGATATTTGAGGGTTGGGTTTTGATTTTAATTATGCCCAGTCACGCCCACTTGCCCACTAAGACGGGATGGTAATGCCTAGGGAGTGTTGTCATGCACGGAAAAACACCTGTGCTGATTGCGCTCTATCAAATCATTGCAGCAGAATCAACCTTTTAGCTACTGTACAGACACTGAGACAGACCTGGGCCTGGTTTCCTGATAGCGATGGAACTTAGGCTTACGAAGGCACCTTGTGTTAAAAATTCTATGAGAAACAGTGACATACACTCTGAATGACCTAAAATAATAAATTGCATATTGGTCTTTCACAGACAGGCCAACCCAAGCTGTACTGTGCAAGTAGGCTAATAGTAGGCATAATATTGAAACAGATAAATGAGGCTGTGAACTGAGTCAGAAATTCGCAGGTTTCAGTTATTTTCCAATTTTTTCAGGTTTTCGCTCTCAAGGTCACATTTTTGTATGCCACAAAATTGTACGTTCTAAGTCCATAAAAATGCTTGAACCACATCAGGAGACCACTTTTGAGGTCTGGGAAAAATCTAATAATGTTTTATTTTTTAGTGTAGTTACCCTTTAATTAAAGTGTGCAGGCACCTAGCACTGTTGTTTGGTTAGTGGTGTTTCTGTAGCACATGAGATGGCGTTTGCAAAAGAAATAGCCACTGGATTGATGGAAATAATCATGATATCATTCTGACAGGTAGGCATAGCTCAGTTGGTAGAGCGTGGCGCTTGCAACGCCAGGGTTGTGGGTTCGTTTCCCACGGGGGTCCAGTATGAAAATGTATGCACTTACACTGCTCTAGATAAGAGTGTCTGCTAAATGACTAAAAATGTAAAATAGGCATAGGCTACTTTGTAGCTAGTTAACATTTAATAGAGAAGGTTTTTGGGAAAGCCTTTCCATTTACCAGAAGACGGTTAGGCCTATCATTAGCATCCCTATATTTTTCCTGTTCCTTAATTGTTTGACACCTGGATGTTTTACTTCATAGTATGAGGCATGTCTTACCTTGCCAGCCTACAAGTAGCAAAATGGTAATCAATTGATTGAACATGAAATGTATTTCAATATGATTCAAATATGCCTATAGCCTACTGTTTATATGTGAATGCAATCTTCTCAGTTTTTATTTGAATAATCTTTTCAGAAGTTGCTTTTTTGTATCAATTGCAAAGACATTGGCAACTTTGTATTTGTAGTCAACTCTGAAGTTATCAGCAGTCACAGAGAGACTGATAAACCATCAGATTCTATGTTTAGCAGAGATCTTCTGTGTATAAAGTGACGCGGGGGGCAAAAAAGCATCTAACTACATACATAGCTGTTTTATGAGTGGTCTGAGGCAGGCGTTAGATTACAAGCGTTTTCAAGTGCAACGTTAATAACAATGGTTTTGGGAAACAGCTCAGAGATTTAAACAGGGCCCTGATAAAAAATTTTTTAACTGTATGATGTATTTATGTTTTTCTGTTTTGTATATAATGTTTCCATGTCTAGATTTATTCAGACCCCTTCCCTTTTTCCACATTTTATTACGTTACAGCCTTATTCTAAAATTGATACAATTATTTTTTCCCCTCATAAATCTACACACAAATACCCCCTAATGACAAAGCGAAAACAGATTTTTAGAATATTTAGCAAATGTACTAAAAATTAAAAACAGAAAAACCTGTGAGGGAAAATGTTATTATCTGAAGAGATGGCCTTGAATTGTACACAGCATCTCCTCTCGTTCTCTTGGTTCTCCTTTTGGTCACGTGACTGTGACCTCCTCCTCAGACCAATTGGCAGTACGCCCAGAACATTGCTCTGGCTCCAAAAGGAGAATCTCAGTTTCAAGGACCCAACTGTGAGAGAAGAAGCCTCGTCAGTCACATGCAGTCACATTATTCATGAATAATGAATAACGTAAATCATGCTTATATGACTTGTTTGTGTAGCAGTGCCTTCGGAAAGCATTCAGACCACTTGACTTTTTCCACATTTTGTTACGTTACAGCCTTATTCTAAAATGGATTTAATATATATATATATATATATATATATATATATATATATATATATATATATATTCTCAGCAATCTACACACAATACCCCATAATTATAAAGTGAAAACAGGTTTTTAGAAATGTTTGCAAATTTGGTCAATCTAGAGTTCATCTGAAAAGATGGGAGAACCTTCCAGAAGGACAACCATCTCTGCAGCACTCCACCAATCAGGCCTTTATGGTAGAGTGGCCAGACGGAAGCCACTCCTCAGTAAAAGGCACATGACAGCCCACTTGGAGTTTGCCAAAAGGCACCTAAAGACTCTCAGACCATGAGAAACAAGATTCTCTAGTCTGATGAAACCAAGATTGAACTCTTTGGCCTGAATGCCAAGCGTCACATCTGGAGGAAACCTGGCACCATCCCTACGGTGAAGCATGTAGACCTTCTCAAGTCTGGTTCATCCTTGGGAGCAATTTCCAAACGCCTGAAGGTTCCACGTTCATCTGTACAAACAATACTACGCAAGTATAAACATCATGGGACCACGCAGCCGTCATTCCACTCAGGAAGGAGATGCGTTCTGTCTCCTAGAGATGAACGTACTTTGGTGCGAAAAGTGCAAATCAATCCCAGAACAACAGCAAAGGACCTTGTGAAGGTGCTGGAGGAAACAGGTACAAAAGTATCTATATCCACAGTAAAACGAGTCCTATATTGACATAACCTGAAAGGCCGCTCAGCAAGGAAGAAGCCACTGCTCCAAAACGGCCATAAAAAAGCCAGACTACGGTTTGCAACTGCACATGGGGACAAAGATTGTGCTTTTTGGAGAAATGTCCTCTGGTCCGATGAAACAAAAATAGAACTGTTTGGCCATAATGACCATCGTTATGTTTGGAGGAAAAAGGGGGTGCCTTGCAAGCTGAAGAACACCATCCCAACCGTGAAGCACGGGAGTGGCAGCATCATGCTGTGGGGGTGCTTTGCTGCAGGAGGGACTGGTGCACTTCACAAAATAGATGGCATCATGAGGAAGGAAAATTATGTGGATATATTGAAGCAACATCTCAAGACACTTCAGTCAGGAAGTTAGAGCTTGGTCGCAAATGGGTCTTCCAAATGACCAATGACCCCAAGCATACTTCCAAAGTTGTGGCAAACTGGCTTAAGGACAACCGAATCAAGGTATTGGAGTGGCCTTCACAAAGCCCTGACTTCAATCCTATAGAAAATTTGTGGGCAGAACTGAAAAAGCGTGTGTGAGCAAGGAGGCCTACAAACCTGACTCAGTTACACCAGCTCTGTCAGGAGGAATGGGCCAAAATTCACCCAATTTATTGTGGGAAGCTTGTGGAAGGCTACCCGAAACGTTTGACCCAAGTTAAACAATTTAAAGGTAATGCTACCAAATACTAATTGAGTGTATGTAAACTGTTGACCCACTGGGAATGTGATGAAAGAAATAAAAGCTGAAATAAATCATTCTCTCTACTGTTATTCTGACATTTCACATTTTTAAAATAAAGTGGTGATCCTAACTGACCTAAGACAGGGAATCTTTACTAGGATTAAATGTCAGGAATTGTGAAAAACTGAGTTTAAATGTATTTGGCTAAGGTGTATGTAAACTTCCAACTTCAACTGTACATGATGTCTGGGCGCACAGCCAAGAGCTGAGAGGCGAGACCTATGGTTTCCTGCTAGTCAGAAGGAAAATAACCGGTTCCTCTTCATCTACTGAAACCAGAGCAAAGTGTTAAATCATGCGCACTAATGATAAAGCTGTTGTCCTGGCTAAGGCCTATTGCTGGTCAAAAGGTTCAAACTTGGTGTGTGTATGTGTGTGGGTGTTCAGGCCCACATCCTCTAGGCAGACAGCGAAAGACACTTGCTTGCGCGGGTCAAGGGGTCATTCATCTACTTTTGAGGAACTATGTCTGGGGAGATTTCCTGTTGTTTTAACACCCATTGTCCTCAGAATGAGACAACCTTTTTCACAGTTAGTCTGCACCCTGTATCCCAGTTCCGTCTCATTGTCCAGCACATACTCACACCAAGATCATGAATTTTGTACATGCTTGCATAAGATGGCTTGCCTATATAAGGTTTCTGTACTCCTCATGTCATTCGAGCTCTCTGGCGTACACCTCAGACGTGCATGCCCAACCAGCTTCATTATTGCAATAATTAATAGATAAATAAAGTATGATTGTTTGAAGAAATAACAAAGTCCCTCCTCATTGGTTAGAATTTCCATGACAGCCCCCCAGGGTCGTCATCCCACAACGGCTGTCCACCGTGTGTGTGTGTGTTCATGGTGGCAATTATCGTCTTGTTAATGTGATTTGCTTTAGCAGTCACACTTTAAATAATGTACAAATTATTTCTGACTTTTTAATGTGACTTGCTTCAGCAGTCACACTTTTAATATTGTACTCATATCTTTAGAACGCAACTCCTCTTACACCGTTAAAGCTAGAAACACCATTCAAACTTTTAAAATGTGCAAATTGAAGCAAGTCACACAGTTTTTCTTCAGGAAAAATACATTTCTAGCTCTTTATTGTTCCTCTGTGAGCTTGAGTTTCATCAGAAAGACAGCATTAATTGAAGAGAGTGGAATGCAACACAAAAGCCGTCAAACAGAAAAGGGATATTTATTCAACAATTAGTTTGTCACAAAATATTTTAGCTGTGTTATTATGTGAACTCATAGAACTCTATAAAGAAACCTCAGCTTTTATTGTTGCTCTTCTTAATTCTATAAACATAATTACTGTATTTATAGTATTCATCAGTTGGTGATGGGAGCAACTACATGGTCAGTTAGAGTTGTGTGACGGCGAAGTCAGCTAGCTCCCCCTGTAGGGCAGACTAAAGAGGCAGCAACCAGCATGCCACGGTGGGGGCAGAGCGAACACTGAGATCCACAGCAGAGCTCCTACAACACACACACACACACACACACACACAATCCACAACACGGTTCTTAATATAATAGCGTATACAGAATACTCCAGTTTCCCTAAATATTCTCACAGAACCATACAATCAAACATAATCACCTAAATATAAACTCATTAAATACACTAAATACACATTATTGCTATAGATACACAGTATTAAAACACACAACCTATGAACAGTCAGATCACTATACATGCAGTTTGTTTCTAATAGACAGTTGAACTTACCTGGAGACTTCTACTTCTTTGTCCTGAATCTTCAGTTTCATTGTTGTTCCCTGGACCTCCTCATAGGCAACAGGTGGACAGGCTGTAACACACAGTACAAATACTGTCACTATGAGATACCTGGACCTGATACAATGGCTCCAAACTCTATGGCTAGCTATCTTAAATCAAATGGACAGTATGAAATTATACTGCGTTAACTAACGTATTTTCATCTGTGTCCTAGAATTTAAAGTTATGTTTTTAAAAATGTACACACTCACGTAGAAACAAAGAGAATATATAATGGCTATTGACTACAACATAAGGATCTGAAGTGGAGTGTTACTGATAATGTTTCACTCACCAATGATCCCGATAATGTTGTCTCCTGTCAGGCGTTGCCTCAGGACGGCCCACAGGAACTTGATTCCATTCCTCTCATAGAGCATGATGATAATCCGTGTTGACCTTATGGTGATGTCCATCTCCTTGTCCCGTAGGATCAGAGACACACTGCAGGAAGTGACATAACAAGGCTCAGATTGATCAATTAAGTCGACAAAAAATAGGACAAAAAAAGGGCTTAGTCTATTTTGATAAATGTAGATAGGCTAAATGTATCTGTTTCACTGCAGCTTAAGCCTGTTGGATGAGGTAGCTACTAGCTAAGTTGAAACTGCTTGGGAAGAGCTAACTCTTATTGGTCACATGCGCCAAATACAACAGGTGCAGACATTACAGTGAAATGCTTACTTACAGCCCTTAACCAACAGTGCATTTATTTTAAACAAAAAAAAGTAAAAATAAAACAACAACAAACAAAAGTGTTGAGAAAAAAAGAGCAGAAGTAAAATAAAGTGACAGTAGGGAGGCTATATATACAGGGGGGTACCGTTGCAGAGTCAATGTGCGGGGGCACCGGCTAGTTGAGGTAGTTGAGGTAATATGTACATGCGGGTAGAGTTAAAGTGACTATGCATAAATACTTAACAGAGTAGCAGCAGCGTAAAAAGGATGGGGTGGGGGGGCAGTGCAAATAGTCCGGGTAGCCATGATTAGCTGTTCAGGAGTCTTATGGCTTGGGGGTAGAAGCTGTTGAGAAGTCTTTTGGACCTAGACTTGGCACTCCGGTACCGCTTGCCGTGCGGTAGCAGAGAGAACAGTCTATGACTAGGGTGGCTGGAGTCTTTGACAATTTTGAGGGCCTTCCTCTGACACCGCCTGGTATAGAGGTCCTGGATGGCAGGAAGCTTTGCCCCAGTGATGTACTGGGCCGTACGCACTACCCTCTGTAGTGCCTTGCGGTCGGAGGCCAAGCAGTTGCCATACCAGGCGGTGATGCAACCAGTCAGGATGCTCTCGATGGTGCAGCTGTAGAATTTTTTGAGGATCTGAGGACCCATGCCAAATCTTTTCAGTCTCCTGAGGGGGAATAGGCTTTGTCGTGCCCTCTTCACGACTGTCTTGGTGTGTTTGGACCATGATAGTTCGTTGGTGATGTGGACACCAAGGAACTTGAAGCTCTCAACCTGTTCCACTACAGCCCCGTCGATGAGAATGGGGGCGTGCTCAGTCCTCTTTTTTTTCCTGTAGTCCACAATCATCTCCTTTGTCTTGGTCACGTTGAGGGAGAGGTTGTTGTCCTGGCACCACACGGCCAGATCTCTGACCTCCTCCCTATAGGCTGTCTCATCGTTGTCGGTGATCAGGCCTACCACTGTTGTGTCGTCGGCAAACTTAATGATGGTGTTGGAGTCGTACCTGGCCATGCAGTCATGGGTGAACAGAGAGTACAGGAGGGGACTGAGCACGCACCCCTGAGGGGCCCCCGTGTTGAGGATCAGTGTGGCAGATGTGTTGTTACCTACCCTTACCACCTGGGGGCGGCCCGTCAGGAAGTCCAGGATCCAGTTGCAGAGGGAGGTGTTTAGTCCCAGGATCCTTAGCTTAGTGATGAGCTTAGAGGGCACTATGGTGTTGAATGCTGAGCTGTAGTCAATGAATAGCATTCTCACGTAGGTGTTCCTCTTGTCCAGGTGGGAAAGGGCAGTGTGGAGTGCAATAGAGATTGCATCATCTGTGGATCTGTTGGGGCGGTATGCAAATTGGAGTGGGTCTAGGGTTTCTGGGATAATGCTGTTGATGTGAGCCATCAGCTGAGTTCATCAATGTAGCTAGCTAATGATTTTAGAAAAGAAAAACTATATATTTGCCAGCTATATTTTAAAGACTTGTTACTTACTATTGAACACTTTTTGCCAAACGAGTTTGTTCCCCTGACTGTTTATTGATGAATTGGTAACTGAAAAAGAGGCAAAAAGGCAGTTGTTTTGGTACAATTTGGCTGATAAAGAATAGGCTTGTACATTTTTTACATTTACATTTTAGTCATTTAGCAGACACTCTTATCCAGAGCGACATACAGGAGCAATTAGGGTTAAGTGCCTTGCTCAAGGGCACATCGACAGATGTTTCACCTAGTCGGCTCGGGGATTAGAACCAGCGACCTTTCGGTTACTGGCACTTGTACATGTGCAGTATATATATGTGCATGTATACTGTACATTAGTGTTTATAAATAATAAAATAAATAAATTCAAATGTTTCATTAGTTAGCTAAGTTACTGGCTGAGTAGATACATTGTTATTCATGTTTTTGTTGTTATTGCATTTCAGATGGAGGGGGAGTAAATTCCCTAGAAAGGAGCATGCTGACAGACATGGAAGAAAGCTGTTGTTGAACAGCAGAGGTATTACAGTCAAAGCTTATGAACTGAATATTGTGTGTGAATTGCCCATTTATATAATTGGCACTAAACAAAAAGGTTGGATTGTTCAGCAACATGAGCAGTAAATGCTAACATAGATTTGGTGATGAAAGGTATGTCACGGAGGTGACTATGTATCTATTAGAAGCTGCCCCCATACATTGCATTATACACTGGGTATACCAAACATTAAGAACACCTTCCTAATATTGAGTTGCACCCCCTTTTGCCCTTAGAACAGCCTCAATTTGTCAGGGCATGAACTCTACAAGGTGTCAAAAGCGTTCCACAGGGATGCTGGCCCATGTTGACTCCAATGCTTCCCACAGTTGTGTCAAGTTGGCTGGATGTCTTTGGGTTCGCCCAGACAAATATAAGGTCCACATCTCCTTGCCCCTGGTAACTCTTCTCCCTGTTGATCACAGGAGTAATTATAACACGTCACTGATTGGGACCTGGGAGTTGCTTGCACCTGTTCTTTATTTAAGGTGAACGCCAGAAGCAGCACGCCATCGATGTGAGCTGGGAGCAGCGTTGCTGCGGAGCCGAGGTGACTGAGGAGAATGCATGCTGTTGCTGGAGCAGACCTGAATCAATGTTGAAACGGAGAGAGAAGGCCTTAATGGGAATTAGGAAGGTGAACGTGTCACCCTTCCCAAAGCTAAGTACCTCTCTATATCCAACTCTAACTTAGTGCCTGATAGAGCTGTATTCCGACATTCTCTACTGTGTTGCGTGCTACGCACTCATTAATGCCAGTGTGCCTGTGGATTGAGCCTATAGCTGCTGTGTGACCTGACGGGAGTACCAACTAAGAAGCAACAAGTCACTGTGCGGCAGGTAGCTTAGTGGGTAAGAGCGTTGTGCCAGTAACCGAAAGGTCGCTGGTTCTAATCCCCGAGCCGACTAGGTGAAAAATCTGTCGATGTGCCCTTGAGCAAGGCACTTAACCCTAATTGCTCCTGTAAGTCGCTCTGGATAAGAGCGTCTGCTAAATGACCAAAAAAAAAACAAAAAAAAAAAAAAAAAACTGTGGACCGGATTGACGGCTGCCGGCGAGTGAACGGAGCGGAGGCCTTTTGGGAAATTGGGAAGGTGAACGCTTCACCTTTCCCAAAGCTAAGTACCTCTCCATATTCCATTTCCAACATTTCACCTGAAAGCACTGCCTGCCGACGTTCTCTACTGCTTTGTGTACGCACTCCAGTGCACCTACTTGTGAACCGGAGAGGAGGCCTTTGGGATACTGGGAGGGTGAAGCACATTCACCCTTCCCTAAGTAGCCTACCCTTCTCATTCCATCCACACCAGTATAGACTCCCAACTGGGGCGAATTCCTTTTGATCGCACTGGACAAGTCATTATGGATTATAGTGACTTTTCTGCCTGAACACTCCCCGCTCACATCTGAACTATTTTAGTCAGTAGGTTCTCACTACTGGCTCTTACTACAAAGACAATTGAAAACCTGTTATTTTGTGAATAGACATTATTGGCCGTTATTGATACCAGATAACGTTACTTGAGCCACTATGCCCTGCCTCCATTTATTTTGGTTTAAATTACTGTATCAAGTCTTGTTGATTTTCCAATGAAGTTTGTTTAATTCTATTTACTATTTCCACATTGTTTGTTTTTGCTTTGATATGATTATACTCCTTTCCTTAGTTCTATTGTGATTTTGTTTAATCATTTTTGGAGAGGTATTGTGGAGGTTTATTGTACTAAGCCCCTACGGCGTCTCAGCACTGACAGAATCTTTGTCTTTCACTCAGTACAACACAACCCAGGAGAGGCCTGCTGTGAACACTGGCTTGGATCCCTCAGAGCGTCCCTGCTGTGGTGGGACCACAGAACGCTACTCAAGGACTTTTAAAATAGGACTTTTACATTTGATATTTTTGGACTTGTCCACTTGGGACTTTTAGCTATTGTTAAATAAATATTGTGTGGAACACCCTTCTGTCTCTGGTGTGTGTTTTGAAGGTCTACATATCTTGTAACCACCCATTCATACAAACTGATATAAATGCAAGAACTGACGTATATTCACTTGTCTATTGTCCCATTCATCAATCTGGTCTTTGAAATACAATGTACAGTATTTTACTCGATACACCTGTGTGATGTGTCTAATATACATTAATAAAATGTATTCACCTTGGACATGAGACTTGAATCAATTCTTTTGAACTTTTGAATTCTACACTCTAAGTGTTGTCTTGATTGATAAAGTCGGCATGTTTGATTTTTTGGTTACCATAGTTAGTAAAAATGAAGACCAACAGGCTATTCAAAAGTTATGATTTTGTAACCTAATTATTTAAAATAAATTAACATGCACAGTTTATACACAGCTTTATTGCATTAATCATCCCCAAATTCGGCCATTGAAAGCCTTGACCATTGCACCCTTCCTCAGAGAACGACCTGCTGAGAGCTGACAACAGGGTGGCATGTTTTTTGATGTACTGCTCTAGAGTTCCATTGCCCAGCAGACTCACCTGGGGACAGGGGGAAAGACATGTTAGTTTTTATTAAATCTGGGAGACTTTTAGAGGGAGGAGAGAGCATGAGTCTTGAATTGAGTACAATAAATCCAACCAGTGACCCTTGATTAGATGCTATATCACACAGACAGCAACAGTGAAGGTGCATAAGTATACTATTATGAGTATACTACTACTTCTCTGTGCTCTGGAGAGATCGCAGGTAGT